AGGCCCCAAAGAGATGAAGCCACAGGCTTCCATCCCTGAAGCATTTCATTGAGGGCTCACCAACGAAAAGACGGCAACTTCACTCCCATGTCTTCTGACTACACAGAGCAGAGAGGACAAGCATGCCCAAATGGGCATGTTCCAGGAAGTGTGTGCGTTTTCCTTTATATGGATCAAGATGGAGTCAAGCTGAGAAGATCCAGAGCCACAATACTTACCATTTCATCAACTTGGGTAAAGTATAAGCTACTGGCGTGTTCGTTAGTCGACACGCTTCCGTTTCCCCTAGCATTTGGCTTTAGATACTGATGCTGAGAAAGAAAGGAATTATCTTGTGTGTAAGCTACAAAATACCTATTAAATGCCTGGGTGTTAAAGAGTTTGTGGCGTCCTTAAGATTCAAGTTCAGAATATAGCATCGAATGCCTTTTAAGTTCCAAATTAAAGGAACAATTAAATTCTGAGTATCAGAAGAGAAATTGTAGGCTTCTTTTCATACATACCAGAAAGACAATATACAATCAGGACATTTTCAATGGTAATGAAGGTACCATACCTGTGATGATGGTAAGGATGGTGGTGGTGGTGGTGGTGGTGGTGGTGGTTGTTGTGGGAGGAGGGATAGTTGTGGGGGGATCTGGATAAAAAAAAAAAGGAAAATCAAACCCACAATGCTGAACACAACAATGATCAGTAATGACAAAACAAAGGCATGAGGACACTGAGATGTTGGTTTGAAGACATCCCCCCCTTTATAAACCAAACGTTTGTTTGTTTATCCTCCAGAGATTTGTATCTTGTAATTAGCTCACAATGTCTTGGAAGAGCTAAGAAAAGAAGAAAAGAGATTTTTATTAATGAAGTGAACTAGAGATGAGGAAATGTGAAGTCAAGAGGGGAGGAGACATCACGACGTACGAACCCCAGCTCTAGATTTCAAAGGTGAGGCTAAAGCAGCTCAGCACCTGGAGGGTGCAATGCCTGCCATTTCGTCTTTGACCCTTACAGACGGGAGGAAGGACGGAGGAAATGGTACTGCTCCCGCTCTGTCTAAAGGGCTCATCTCACCCACAGATGCCTGCGTGCCTGCTCACTTGCTCTCTCTGACTGTTAACTTCATTATTCTCCATCAATACATCTCAGCAGGAAGTAAAAACTTCTCCTATACTAGTAATACATACAAAGAAGTGAGAATGTCACCACTAAATATCAAGTTCCAGGCATGTGCGATTTTACTGAGATTTTGTTTTTTAAGTCAATAAATTTTACAACGTATAAATATTAATAAGGTGCCTTTGCTCATGTTAAAAGCGTGGCCTGAGTGGACTGCAAATGATAAAGCTGAAGGAATGTTTTCCGTCTTGTAAACCAGAGAATTGAACAAAAATGGGACTTGACCCTCAAAGGCATGAACCTGAGAAGGAACCGGCCGTCAGACATTTGATATACTGTATATTCATTCATCACCTAAAACGTATTTGGGGATAAGGAAGGGCAAATATGAAAGAAAAAAAAAAAACTATTCTAAGCCTAAATGATCAAACTGAATGTGTTAGACTGTCAGCGAGACTTTGAACTAAGCAATCATTCTGCTATAATAGACCATAAGATGATTTGAGGGCTTTTGATTTTAAATTTTATCTAAAGCACGTCAACTTTTTCTCCCTGACACATCTGGTGTCCTTTTATCTCCAAGTGAGCTCTCAGATTGTCTAATTAATACATCAAAACTTTAATTATAAAGTGCACCTTTATGGGGTTTGGTCCAACTTCCTGAAAGTTTATGAAAAATATTACCCTGGTGCATGGCTGCAAGGTCTCCTGAAAATGACCCTAGTGTAGAACAGTAGGTCAGTGCTCGAGTTTTCCTCCCAAACTGCTCCTCTCACCCAAACGCTTGTACAAATATGATCAGGAAGGATGAATACCAACTTGGTTGTTTATTTTGGGGGATGGCGTGGGAGGATTTTGTTCATTTAAACTGAAGAAACAAGCACTTTTAATTATTATTTGAAGCTGCCTCACCTATGAATGAATAAAAATGATTCCATTAAAAAAATATCTCATACTTCTCTAAGAAATAGACATGATCCAATCAGTGATTTTCAACTGCATTTTTAAAAACAGCCACATGAACTGGGTGACAATTCATGGTGACAGGTCCTATTCTGAGTTTTGCTCCCTGGGTACTTTTTATAGAGGCCACAGGTAGGAGATGAGTTTGTGACCCAGAAATCATTTGGGTGCCCCCTGACCTCACTGTGGGTGCAGGTATAGACAGAGAGGAACAAGGTGAGCTGACCCAAGTTGAGTTCTGTTTACTCGCACACATGGTTAGCTCCAACTTGGGAAGGGTCCTGCTGCCCAGCCTGGGAACAATTAATGTGGCTTTTCTGACCTGGTTCAATGATACTATTTACCACACACACACACACACACACACACACACACACACACACACACAAAATGGTGTACCTGGGAGACTCCCTGGACTACTGGAGTGTTATTTCTGCACCTATTTCTAAAAACATTGACACGAAATGGGTGATGTCCACAATACAATAAGTGGACATGAAGGGGATTTGAAAATATGACTAGGAAGTTAGGTGTGGACTGGACTAAAGAGGTCAGGCACTTCAGAAAAAGGGAATTATTCTATCTGGAAAGTAATGAGATTATGAAGAATTACAAAGAAAGCCATATGCCTCCACTGTGGACTTTGGGGTCAGATAGTAGCATGGCGCTGTCACATAATTCGTTACTTTGTGAGTTTGGGCATACTTTACCATCTGTGAAATGGGATGGTAATATTGTTTTCCTCATGGTGTTGGATGAGACCATGCATATAAAATATTTATCAAAAGGCTTGGCCCTCAATAAACGCTAGTGAGAAGCTATGAGGCTAAATTATTCAAATACAGCTGTCCACCCAATTCACAAGGAGTTTCTCATCTTGAATACAGGAGCAGTAGGTACAATAAGGAGTCCTGTTGTGGTGCTGTAGGATCAGTACTGGACTGCTAACTACAAGGTCATTCGTTCAAACCTACCAGCTACTCTTTGGAAACCCTCTAAGGGTTGTTATGAGTCAGAATTGACTTGATGGGCATGTAACAACAGGTACAATAAGTCCAGTTTCTCCAGATAACTCAGTTTTCGTTGACTGAAGGAATCAAGTCAATGCAATAATAGACTGGTGGAGATTCGTCATTGCTTTGTAACATTTGGAGTTTATATGAAAGCTGGTCTGGAAGTCTGTCAACCTGGGCAGACCTCAGAAGCTCACACCCAGTGTGGAGAGAGCACATGAACAAGCAGAAGGGAGGCACTTGGCTTCCATTCCCCTTTGGTCAGCAGATCGTAGACAGCTGATGGACAGAGACGGCTCTGCGTATTGCCAACCAAAAACGGGTCACGTGTCCCCTCTCTCACCTGCAGAGGAGAGCTGCACCTTCTTGAAGTCATTACCTTCACTGTGATTTTCTTAGCTACTAAGGAGAATTAATGCTATTATCTGTGGGCCACAGACAACATGGGCAGTGTGCAAAGACAACATCTCAGCAGTCTACGAATAAGGTGATTAGACATGAGCTTTTCATTCTGCATTACGCTGAGGAAAATAAAGACCTCAGGTGTAGGCTGAGGATTATAGCGGACTATCCATGTAGATATGGTGCAAAACACGCTTCTATTTGATTACAAAGACTGCCACTCCTATTTTCTTCATAAGGAAAGTGGCCTTGGTTCTAAGATTTTATAGTGTATATACTCCACAGATATAAATTATACTTGGATTATTTATGCTGCTAACATGAAGAATGGACTCCCACCTGAAGCACACAAACCATATTCCACTATTTACAACACAGTGAAATGTTAACTTCTACGGCTACTCCTTCTGTGTGACAAGTCCACAACTGCTTTTTTGAGTATAAAACTAATCGGGAGCTTCCATTGGACAGGAGAGACTTAATTTGTCATCAAATGACTGGAGAGGCAGTACACTCTCAACTAAATGGGGAATACGCTTAAAACACCTGACACATAATAGATACTCGATAAATATTTGTTGGTGAGAGAAGGAAATTCAATAACACTGTAAAAAGATGTTGATTAAGAAAACCAAAACAGACGAACCAACCAACCAACCCCAAGTCCCCCAAACTTGTAGTTATCCAGTCGATTTTGACTCATGGCAACCCCATCTGTTACAGAGTAGAACTGATCCATAGGGTTTTCTTGGCTATAATCTCCACACAAATTAAAAAACAAAAAACAGGAAAAAAAGAAGACAAAAGCATTTGTGTGCAGGGCAGTGGCTACAGGTAGTTTATGCAGCCAACGAGGATTTTGCACTTTTTCAACTATTTACTGGCTTATAGCATCCTCTGGGATTTAATAGCTTCATGCTGAAAATGGAATAGTTCTGCTCATCAAAGCAAGAGAAAGACTCACCCCAATATCAATATCATAGGAAAATCCCACTGGGAATAAACTTTCTAAGCTGAAAAGCCATTAATTGGTAAGGATGGACTGTGTTCCATTATTACTTCTAACATCATGTCCCTGGTTTGTGCCTGAGGACACAACTTTAGGGCTCAGCAGGATCAGAGACTGGGATCTAGTGGGGAAACCCCACAATTAGAGGGAGTGAAGGAGAGTCACTGTTCTCACAGGTTTCTTTTAGATCTTGAAGAAAAACAAAACCCACGGCCATGGAGTCGATTTAGACTCACAGCAGCCTGGCAGGACACAGAACTGCCCCCATAGGGTCTCCAAGGCTGTAAATCTTTTAGGAAACAAGACTGTCACTTCTTTCTCCCTCAGTGTGGCTGGTGGGTTCAACCTACCAAACTTTTGCTTAGCATGAGTGCTTAACCACTGCACTACCAGTTCTCCTTTCTGGAAGGACCCAACTGGCATTGGGGTTCCAACTTGACCATACGCTTTGGCTCCATGTACATGAGTTGAGTAGGAGGCTGTTTCATCTTCTCACGTACCGTATACATACAGCATATAATCCGAATGAGCTGAACCCACTATGTTTGAAGCCTCACAGCGGTATGTCCCATTATCTGTTTTGTTTAGGTTACTGATGAACAGGTTGGGCCCAGACAATACGGCATGTTGAGGCATTTCATCATCCACTCTCACCCAAGATACCATCATGGGCCTGCAGAAGAAGGGGACAAAAGGCATCTTTCATTATTATTTCCCATTAAGGAATCTACATCAGACTTCTCATTCACCTATTAAATGAACTGTACATTCAGGGGCGACACAGTGAAAGAAAACCTACTGGAGGTATTTCAAATCCACAGAAGTACAACCTTGAAGTCTCCCCAAAACTGCTTGGCATATGATATTTTGTGGGTTTTTTTTTTTTTTTAAACAATGAAAACATGATCAGGGGTTGAAAAACTTTTAACAGACCACAAGTAGCAGTCTCATTCTTTCCAATTTATCTTTGAAAGAAATCTGCAAATAAACCACTGTACCTATTTTTAATGCCCTGCTGTGTGGTTTCACACCAATTCAGATAGGACAGAGCTCTCCCACTGCTAATCATCTTATTAATTGTTGTTGTTGAATGCCATAGAGTTGATTCCAACCCATCATGACCCTGTATAGGGTTTCCAAGGAGCAGCTGATGAGCTTGAACCGCTAACCTTGCAGTTCAAACAACTTTGCAGTCTGACGCATTAGCCCACAGCGCCACACCAGGACTTCTTATTATTAATTCGGGGGTGGGGGCATTGAGTTCTTGGCTAATGATACATGTATTAATCTATTGGTCTCTAACACACCAAGACACTTGCAATATTTAAATAAATTCAGAGTTCCACACAAAGGAATGACATTTCACTTCTTGCTTTTGACCTCTGCTGTTTGGAGAACCACTTCTGGTTCTGGAACGACAGAATCACGTCCTCTCTCCTTAACTGTGACCTACAGACGACCTTGCCCAACCCAAAACACTTGCCACACTCTCTGATGCCCCCTGACTTTTCTTTACGGAGGTCTCAGAGGCCCATCCATTAATGCACCTTCCCCTTGTGTGCACACCTGCTCAGAAGGCAGAACACACTGAGGAAGAGGCGTTCAGTTAATCACTGTCAGGTGCAACTCCACGTACATTCCTCAGATCCCAGGCACTTGCTCATCAGAGATAAGCTCGCTTTAGTGAATACAGTATTTGTCTCCACCAGACAAAGCAAGGAACCCTGGTGTGGCGCTGTAGGAGGCGCACTGGACTGTTAACCTAAAGGTCAATGGATCAAACCCACCAGCAGCTCCGAGGACATGCTGCACGGAGTCCCTGTGAGTCAGAATCGACTCAATGGCACTTAACAACAATGACAGGCAAAGCAAATTTCACAAGATGCTGCATGTGGAGCCAAACAGGCAGACGTGCAAAATAGTTTGTAAATGCTTGGAATTTACAATTTCCCTTCTTCGAGGCATCGTCTTCAAGTCCTGTGAAAAATGGAGCCCTCACCTCAGACTGTGCCTGAAAACTTTCCTTTGGAAGGAAGAGCAGTGCACAGGTTTGGGCATGGGAGTGACTACCTTTCAGTTCGTACTGCATCGAGATGAAACAAGAAAGATGGCCAAGGGATGCCCAAGTCTGCCCTGTCAAGTAGCATGCCCATTCTCAAATGGGATGTGAAGGCACAATGTTTCTTTAATTACACATGAGTTTGTCATCAGAACCCAGTAAATTATTTAAAAATGAGTACCACATATGTCCTCCTTTCAGGCAGTGGCAAATGGGTCTGCCTGGCAATCCGATCTAATGTCCTGCTGCTTGACAGCTGAAACAATCAGTGGGGGTAAGTGCAGAGAATATTCACAACATTTAACAGCAAGTTAAATTACCATCTTTATAGTATGCAATTTCTTGAGAAAATAAATAGGTAATATGCTAGAAGGGATAGCGGCAGAGTAAAGCTGTGCTTGCTCACACAACCATATACCCGGCCCTATTTGAGAGGAACAAACAAATACCCTCTCTGGCAGAAATGTCCTGAAGGAAACATGTAATTTACTGCCCCTGTGGCACATTCAATTGAACACAGTTCCTTCTTCAGGGGGAAAAAAAAATACAGGAAACAAAATACAGGTTAGCATGAGATACTCTACTGTGTAAATGCAGTTAATGTGGCTGAAGTCAGGTATTGCAGGTGGCAAGAGGCCTCTGAGAATCTTCCCCCCCACCCCTCTCTCCATTAGATTGTTTTGTAGGGTCTGGAGAGAAGGAAAGTTGCTAATGAGGACAGAATTTAAATAGCTTACAAAAAGAAAGATCTGAATTGGCTCTGTTGAGGTTTGAAGCTTTCCAAACCAAACAACCTACGAACACCAGAAGAAATCTAAACAAGCAAGATTACGGTCCACCCCCTAAAGGTGATCTTTAAAAATTCAAATGTTTATGACCAAAAAGAACCCCCAAACACAACTTTACTGCCATCGAGTTGATTCGAACTCATGATGGCTCCTAAAGGGCAGAGTGAACTCTTCCAGAGTGTTTCAGAAATTGTAAATCTTTACACAAGTAGAAAGCTTCATCATTCTCCTGCAGAGCAGCCGGTGGGTTTGAACCACCAACCTTGAGGCCTTAATTCATGGTGCCATCAGAACAAAGAGAAGGAGATTGTAGCTCATGGAGCAGAAAGCACAATCTAGAGAGGGCTGGAAGCGAGAAAAGAGATCAACAGAAGTTCCATGGGTTCACTGGTCTGTATCACAGCGTGTCATGGGGGTAAATCTTCCCAAACACTGGGGAAGCTGTGTTAAGAGGCTTGGAGTTCTTATTTGAAAGCTGTGATAGTTATATTGTTAACAACACTCTGAGAGAGAAAAGAAAAAGAAAAAAATCATACCACAAGGGACAGCAGAGGGAGCTCAATGCTGGTTTTTGTTGGGGACTATGAAAACTTGGAAGGAGTCCTACTAGCATAGTGGGCTACGCCTTGGGCTGCAAACCACAAAGCCAGCAGTTCAAATCTACCAGCCGCTCTGTGGGAGAAATAAGAAGAGCTTTCTGCTCCCGTGAAGATTTCCAGCCTCAGAAACCCTGTAGAAGGTCGTTATGAGTCAGAATTGACTCAACAGCACAAAACCACCACCACTTCCACCACCAAAAGTCTGAGTACTCTCAATCACAACTTGTTCTTTCATTTCATGATTACATGGTTTGTTCCACCCCGCCCTTAAGAAATAGTTTAAAACAATCTCCATTCTACTAAAAAGATGAACGATCCCAAACTGTACCCTATTTACAGTGGTATCATCACATGACTTTTTTGTTGTTGTACTAGTGTTTAAGAGCCAGCTGGATGGCACTTAACAACAACAACAACTAGTCTTCAATGTTAAAAAAAAAAACAAAAAAACTTGTCACGGAGTTGATTCTGAATCATGGTGACCCCATGTATGTCAGAGTAGAACCTTGTACTATACGGTTTTCACTGGCTGATTTTGGGGAGTAAATGACGAGGACTTTCTTCCACAGTGCCACAGGGTGAACTTAAACCTCAAAGATTCTCGTTAGCAGCCAAGTGCATTAACTATTTGCTCCATCCAGGGACTCTGGTGATACATATGAGGGGGTGTCAGAAAGATAATTCCATTATCTTTTCATTCTATTTTTCTACAAACTTGTGGAAGCCCCCTTGTCTAGTTTCTCGGATTCACTCTAGATCATTTAGCATCGTCAGTAATGTAACTAGTCGGTTTTCTTTTTTCTTACGCAATAGCATATATCCCTTGAGAAAAATTCTTGGAGCATTCCTTACTTGACAAAAATATTTCTAGACGTACACTTTTCATTGAGGGAATAGTATGTGCCATTAAAAATAGGACAGATTCATTTGCCTACAGGTAGCCTAAGAGTCCTGACAACTGCAAGGTCATTGGTTCAAATCCACCTGCTGCTCCCTGGAAACTCTCTACAGGATTGCTATGAGTCAGAACAGACACAGGAGCACTTACCAACACCAGCTATAGACAGAGCAGCTCAATTTAAGGCAGCTTAGTAACACAGAAGGTAGCAGATGCATCAATATTTCGTGGGCACACTAGACATTTATTAGGATTATAATTTGTGTGTAAAAGAAAACAGCCCGTCAAATTGATGATAATGAAGTAAAATTCGGTGAGATTTCAATTCTAGTTGGCATTACATAGTCCCCCAATCCTGACCACTAAGAACTACAGTTATTTATTCCCCCTTTCACTGACTATTCTGTATTTCCTGAGAAATCTTCCATTTTTTTGCAGTGGGAGACAGGTGACAGGCCAGTGAATTGTGAATGCACATCTCAGTGTTGTGACATTTACATGACCCTCTGCCAAACTCCAGTACTTACTGGGGCTTCCCGATGGCTTCACATGTTAACTTAAGCGCGTCCCCTTCCCGGGTGAGGCCTTGTAGAGGGTAAGTCATCTGAATATGCACTTGAGGCTTATCTGTGAGACAACAGCATAAAATATAATGTTTAGCAAATGATATCATCAGACAAAATCAGACTTGCATGCGGCCACAAACCCCACACTACCAGCACTCATTCTTTCCCCATCCTTAGGCCTTCAGTAACATCCTTCTTCTAATTAGTTAGTAATCCTGGCATTTGCTCAAATTAAACTGACTAATAACTCCAAGGAGCGAACTGCGAATAGATAAGAGATTCATAAGCCAACTGCGCCACATCAAACATTTCCTGTGAAATACATTTTGTTACATTGAAGTTTATCTCCAAACTCACTCAAGCTAAAGGAAACTCATTTGCCTTCATGCTGAGGTGAAGCCACAGATATTTGTGGTGCTCAGAATTGATACATTTTTATCATATATCATATATTACTATGTGACAATACGTTATGACACTGAATATTAAATAGCTTGCCTTTTCTGTGCTGTTGTTTTCAAATGAAAAAAGCAAAACTTCTGAATTCCACTGAAATGGTGTTCAGAATAAAGCAATGGGAGGTTTGGGTGGCTCCCAATGAAATTGTTCTGACATCTCAGTATAAACATAAGAAGGAAGGAAACTGACATTTCCTGAGAACCTTCTGCAATAGAAATCATCAATGGTGGCGCAGTTTAAGTCCAGTTTTTTAGATGAGAACACCGGCACTCAGAGAATGTCTATAGAGTTAACATAACAATGAGACAGATCCAGGAGCTGTATGTTGGGAGGGATTCTCGATTCAAAACTAGATCTCACAGTGGCGTTCATAACTAAAATAGAGTGAAGAATTTAGGTAAATGATGTAGGTGTTCTTATTTCCACTAGCAACTTAAAACTGTGAACGGGCCTTTGAGGGGGTAGGAGAGATGAATGATGGGAGTTGGGGAAATTGGGAAGAAGTTGAAAGAGAATTGGATACATAGATACAAATAAAATCACATGAGAATTGGATACATAGATACACATACAAATACAATCACAAATAAACCCTGAATTAAGAGATTTTTTGTTTTGTTTAATTTCTTCAGGCTGAACTATCAAACTGTTAATCCCTAAATCAGTATTCTCATTTAGTTTTGTGGCTCTACAGATGTATATTTTTGGGCTTGTATTGAAGAACAATAAACCTAAGTGGGGAAGGTATCTGTTGGCTGAAAGGTCAAAAGAATTTCCACAGCTTTAACTTTCTGTTACAGTCAGACCACCTAAACACTGTCCCCTTGACCTAATACATGCTCATTAACATTTGTCCTGTGTGGTAAAGGCGAGGCTAGGAACACAGAGAGCCCAGTAGTGCAAGGAAGCCCTCTCTCTCTCTGGTAGGTTGCTTTGCAGATGCATTTTTATAATATGTTCCCATCATAGGGTGTTCTCTCGTAACTCAGGAAACCACATGGCATTCAAAACCTCTTCAGAGAACCTCCTAGTATACTGGTGTGCATTGCACACTGTGAATTGGTAGTGCTTGCCGAGAAGCTAAGTCACTTAAAAGTTAACAAGCCCGAAAGCTCCGGCTGATCCTTGCAAGTAACATGGTTCTATCCTAGGACTTGCTGGTCGAGAAAATGTGTCAGAGTAAAGCAGCATAGAGGTTTCCAGATACTGATAACTGGGTTGGGCAGGCAGGCATTAAAGAAGGGCAGAAATCCTCAGCAAGTATAAACATGATGGCCTTGAACCAGTAGTACTGGGAGCTGAGCTGAAGCAAGAGCTTTTGGGCACAATTTCCACAGCTTTGGGCACCCCTTGTAGCTAGAGACTACATGTGGACTAAGAATAAGAAAGTCTATGAGTTTCAGTGGTTTAAAACACACAGCTAGCTAGTTGGTAAAATTTATTTAAAAAAAAAAAACGAAAAAAAGACAAAAAAAATACTGACAAAATCATTAACGGAAGAAGGTTCTGACACCAAACACACAAAGCCACAAAATACTTATTCCCTAACAGTTCCTGGTTAGGTGAACCTCTGTCATTCTTATCCAGGAACCCTTCTAGTGAAGGCAACATTTAAAGCCCCAAATTTGGGCTGATATGTAACATTTGGTATAGGTTAATCTCTGATCCACGGAAGGGCTACATTTTCCATGCGCTACTGACTTTGGCCCATTAATTAAGGCTAAGTTGAATGCTTGCTGGCTGATGTGGAAGGTTTGTGTGTGTATGTGTGTGTGTTTTATTCCCTTCCCGTCCTTTGCATAATTTACAAGCAAACAGAGAGGGTATATTTTTCAGCACAGTTCACTACGGGTTTTACATACTCAATTTCCATGAATAATAGTGTTGAACATCTAACCCATCCTCCCTCTTCAGTATCACTCAGTTCCTTTTAGTTTAAATGTTCCTAATGAGCTGTTTGGAGTCCTGGTGTGGCACCGTAGGATAAGCAATGGACTGCTAACTACAAAGTTGGCAGTTCAAACCCACCAGCTGCTCCTTGGAAACGCTATCAGAGTTGCTATGAGTCAGAACTGACTCAACGACACTGAACAACAACAACAAAATGAGCTGTTTCCCAGGTCTCAATTACTCACATAATTTAGGAAGAATAAGTTCAGGACTTGCTAGACCTGGAATTTATATAAACATCACATAAATTAAAGCCACAGAAAACACACCTTCAATTTTGATAACTGATTTTCCCAATTTACTCTCGAGGTTTCTGGAGAAACATCTACCATCTACTTATGGGTACAGCTGCCACAGTTACCTTAATAGCTGGCTGGAGAGGTAAACATTAATCTTGCTTGTATTATACAGAAAAAAGTCTCCCTCTCTTGACACATGCAGTATTTATAGGTATACTATCTGACCGTGGGCAGCTGAGCTATCTTCACAGTCAACCTAGGAAGCAAATAGGTCTATGTGCCAAGACACATTCCCAGGTGATGGATATTTAAAAACAAATTGTGTTCTCCATCCTTTGTCCTGAAAAAGGAACTTAAACCTTCTCAACAGGTAGAAGAGAAACCTGGGATTCCACCGACTGAGGGACCTTCAGTTTTCTCAGGATGATCCTACATGAGTATGTCAAAATACTGAACAATCCAGATGGCTGACTGAATAGCCCACAGCTCATCATTTATGTTTTAATTATATTCATAAATCAAATGTTATAACCCACCAAATCTTTTCTGAAACAGAACCAGACTTCAAGATTTATTTTTAAGTAATGAGGTAAGGACTAGTACATTTTCTGGGTGATCATTTTTATGCCTCAGTTGGCATTGTAAGGCACAAGGCTAAAAGCCAGATGACACTTTCTACCCAACGCAGTAAGTATCCAAAAATGTATTGTGCAGAATGGCTTAATGTCACTATAAAATGGAACTGCTATATAAAAATAAGAAAAATAGTTAGGTCTGCACACTTATGGGAAATTACAGTATGGAGATGGCATTACCAACAGCCAATCAATTAAGTTGAGGGATCTGAGGTTTTCATAATACCCTGTCCTTTTTCTAAAACCCCATAAAAAGACATTTAGCAAGACTGATAGAGCTGACGGAATCTGTTCATTTGTCACAGTTATACAGAGGGTTAAATACCAGGAGGCTTTAAGTCACACTACAGTAATAACCAATTAAAAATATATAGAATAGAAAGGCATTCTGATGAGACTTTCTTTAAATGTACTTTGCTCTCTCTATAAGGGGGGATATATATAAATATATATATAAAGGAAACTCTTAAAGAGGTTAGAATGGCTTGCTGGCAGATTACAATTGATTTCATGCCAGTGTGACCTTGCACGATATTCTATGATCTTTTCAGAAGATGAAACTCAAGAGCTTGTAACCTGTATTTCAATTTCCTATGTAAATGAGAAGTCAGAGACTCCTTTCTAGATCACAACACTACAGTATCAGGTCTTAATATTTTTTTTAATTAAAAAAACAAAACCAAAAAAAGGCATTTTGTTGGTTGCAGTTTCCTTGTGACTAGGATATCACCTTTTCCATGTTCCAGAGGCAAGAGCAGAGACAGGAGCCCTTCCTGCCCTGTTTCCCTGGGGACCCCCACCACTTTGCCTTGCTTCATTGTTGTTGATGCTAAGTGCCATCAAGTCAATATCAACTCATAGTGACCCTGTATAGGGTTTCTGAGGAGCGGCTGGTGGATTTGAATCACTGACCTTGTGGTTCAACCTGACCATGCAGTCCAGTGCTTATCCTACACCGTGCTTCAAGAGAGTCTCTGAATCAGGGAATGTGACATTACAGGCTTTTTGATGGGCTTGTGTACAAATCTGTTCTCACAATTACTCTATTTAGGTTCCTTACTTAGATTTCATCCACTATTCCAAAAAACTGGTTTGAGTAGGACAAGTGCTAGTTGTTTCTGGTGCTCGCTACCAGGGATAACTTGAGGGCAGCATGGTAACAGCATGGCTGAGGAGAGCGGGTTTGGGTCAGTACCTGTGCATTCAAGTGAGGAAACATGGACTGAAGAGGGGCTGTCAATTATGTGGGAATGGCAATGCAAAGTATCCGGGGCCACTTGAGCTCACAGCAGGAGTCCACCCCTACAGTACTGCTGTCTAACTGTTGTCAGAAGACAGCCTTGTCGTTGAAGGAGAGGGATGTCTGGTAACACGAGGTGATTTTTGTTGATGTTTTTGTTAGGTGCCATTGATTCGGTACCGACTCATAGCAACCCTATGCACAATAGAGCGAAACACTGCCCGATCCTGGGCCAACCTCACAATCATTGCCCATTGATGCTGCCACTTGGCCAATCCAACTCATTGGGGATCTTCCTTTTATTCTTGGACCTTCCACCTTACTAAACATGATATCCTTCTCCAGCGACTGGTCCCTCCTGACAACATATCCAAAGTATGAGAAACTAAGTTTGGCCATCCTGGCCTCCAAGGAGCACTCTGACTGCACTTCTTCCAACACAAATCTGTTTGTTCTTTTGGTATTCCATGGTATTTTCAGTATTCTCCTCCAACACCATAACTCAAATGATTGAATTCTTCTATGGTCCTCCTTATTC